AAAGGGTCGCAAGCACGTAAAAGGTCGCACCTGCCGGGAGGAGCGAACCAGACAGGTGGCCTAAAACTGACCAACAGAATATTCCGTCCCATATACCTCATAAAGCTGAGAGATCACAAGGGCCAATCTCTCTTCTTCGATGGCCTACATCTGAGGAGGACTCTGTCTGCTCTCCTGTTGTCGATCCCGATCTGTGCATCCCTGAATCCAGTGCCTGAGTCCAGCTCTTGCATCCCATCCCTGTCTGCTGCTGTGTCCAGCCTGGGACTGCCTGTAGCGTGGTGGTGACGGTGATGTATTGTCATCAGGGTGGGGGGAGTTTGGTTTGATATTGGTTTTGTATCTATTTGTATATATTTCGTTATTTCCTTATTATTATATTTTCTTTTATTGTTATTGTTTCATTAAAGCTGTTTTAGTTTTCCAGACTGTAGAGTCTCTCTCCCTTGTTCTCTCTCCCTTTCCCTTTTTGGAGGGGAGAGTGGTTGATAGAGAACGTTTGTAATTTGTTAGTGGCCAGCCCAGCCTCAACCCTTGACAGCTGACTGGAATACTTCATGAGGTTATAGTTAAACTAGTTAAACAAGTGAAACTGCCTTTTTTTTTTTTTTCATTTTTCGCAAATTTTGTTGCAGACTGTATTGCTCAGAGGGCATGGAGTAAACCGTTATGGCAAAGGAGTAGTTTTGCCAGTAAAGTTGTCCCTATTCGTTGCATATTAAAACTGTTTTAATAGGGTAGCTCAACAAGGAAGCCAGCATCAAACCCTAAACTAAACTGCTTTTAGTAATGACGCAGTAGGACTAATTTTACTGTTTGTGAAAGAATTGTTTTCACCAAGAACAGATGGTTTTAAAAAAAGTGAATTAAAAGTACATTTACAAATTGTTGTACCTTCTTTTGTGTCCCAGAGAATCCATAGATTTAACATGGGTGTCATCTGTAGCACTGCAGGAATAGTGAACCGATCACCACCTGGAATGAGCAGTATTGTATGGAACTGAATTGTGTTCAGGTGAAACAAAGAAATGACAAAATTAGAAACTTACTTAAAACTGATGTTTTGACAGGGGCATAGCTGTAAAGGATGAGGTTAGAGGCCATAGCAGTTGAAATTCTCTGTAAAACGTGTGCGATGAAGTAGGAATTTAACCAGGCATGATACCACTGGCTTTTGTTTGGAGTTCTGAGAGGTTTAATGAACTTAACATTGTGTTGAGCATTTCAGTACTTGATTTTAAGGTACAATTGCTGAAATAAAAGTGCATCTTTTAAGCTACTTGTGTACTCTCAAGCTACCACTATTTTAATGAAGTTTCTCCCTTCAGCTTACTATTCTAATACCTCTGTATATAGAAATTGTGAGTTCCTACTGCATAAGTCTTGTTAGGAGCTCTGGTAAGCCATGCCACCATTGAAAAGACCTTAAAGAAGACTCTCTTCATTACTTTTCCTTTTATTAACCTGTGCCATGAAAATGTAGTAATTAAACGAAGTATTCTGTTAATATACAAGTTGAGTCTCACCAGCTTTAAATTTGATCTCAGCAAGATCTTAGTTTGGACACTTGGTATGCAGATTTCACTGGATTTCCAGATAATGTCAATTATGCTTCACTTAGAGTCAAATAGCTGTGCTTTAACCTAAACAGAGCTTGTATTAACTTCTGTTGATAACAAGAATTTATGATTTTTAAATGGCTTGCATTGCTCAAAGTGTTCACTTGCGTTGCTAAGTCAAAATGAACATTTGTGATTTTTAATGAATGTTGAAACTAAGAATCAGCGTATGATTTAAGTTGTTATGAAGCTGAATACGAAATTTCTTTAGGTTCCTAGGTAGCAGTTAAGAGGACTGAAATTACTTTTTTTGGTTGGAAATGAGATTCATTTAAATGCAACAAAAATTACTTAAACTTTAGAAGCCTTTATGAGGAGGTCGTAACATTGTGGTTCTGAGTGTTTTAAAAAATTAGGTTTTTCCATCAAGAAGTGAGCTTGTGTGGTTTTCAGTTTTAGGCATGAATTTTAAGGTAATTGGTGAACCAAGAAAGAAAATTTTAGGGCAACTGTGAATGTGTTGAGAGTTTCGGGAGGACTGTATGATGATCAACACTTCTGTGAAAATTCAAAATGCATCTCTTACTGACTTGCTATGACCTGTTTTTTTTTTTTGTTGGGTAAACTGATACCTCCTTTTACTCCTTCATACTCAGTGTCAACAGGATTAAGCTTAGTGATAATGTGCAACTTGGTCTATATTGTAAGCATTTCTTATACTGGAGGAAGAGCTTGTAGGAAAGCTTATCAAACCACTTGAAATAGTTGGAAAGGTAGCAGTGCTTCTAGAGGCCTTCTTCAGTGTTTGGATCAGCTTGGTTTTTAGTCAGATAGATGCTTCAAAATGGTGAATTGAATTGATCTGATGAGTTAATTCTAATGTGTATGTTCTTTCAGCTTTATAACTTCCAGGAGGGCATTTGAGCCATTTGAATGAAGCGTAGTTAAATTTTGGAGTGCATGTATGTAGGTCTGGGGACGTTTGTATTTATAGAGGTACTAGCAAGGTGTACGCTTGAAAGGCAGAGTGAACTTGCCCCATTCCAGCCCTGGTAGAACCCTTGGCAATATACACAGCTGAGCTGAGCTTGCAGAATAACTGTTCTGTAATCTGGAGTGCCTCTGTCACCATTTTGTTCTTGAGTGTCTTCCAGAAAACTAACTGCAGTAATTTTGTGTACTAGAAAATTGTGCTGACCTGAAGCCCCTAATTTTGTAAATTGAAGCATATATTTTCAAGATGCAGCTTGCAGTGTTATTAGAGTAAAATCAAAGAAATTATCGAGATAAAGATTTTCTTCTGTAGGGCCAGCAGTACCTTCACTGTGTAGAAGGTCTGTGGGATCTGTGTAGGACAAAGACATGGAAGCAGTAGCTCTGTGGTGCAATGACTGGTGTACGCTGGTGTAGGGGCTTGCAACTCACTAGGACAGTGGACTCTGAAACCTGGGGCATGCCTCTAAATGTAAATAGGGAACTGGTTGGGAAGAGCAGTCAAAACCCGTGGTTTCCCAGCACCCAGCTTCAGTGGAACGGTGACTCATAGATTATCTTGCTTGTTTCACCAGCTCTATGAAATGTGTAAACAGTAGTCATAGCTGATCAACACTGTCCAGAACCATGTTTTTCTTGCATATATCTTCATTCAGAAAGGAGCAAAGTGTCTTCACTCTAAGTGAAGTCAAAGTGTCATACTCTAAGTTGGTGGTAAGTTTGGACTTCATTCTGTCTCCAGCCCCTGTCCCGTCAGTGACCAAAATGCTGATTGTGATTGCACTTCAGAATAGCTAAGAGAACTTCCTATTGTGCACGGTACTGAACCTTATTTCACAGAATGAGTCAAAGTAAATGGATAGGGACAGTGAATGCCTGGGTAACGTGTGGTGGGACTGCACTTCAGCGTTCACTGTCTGTCATATTCGGTGTTCTCGTTGCTACTTTTAACTATTCTGTGGTGCACTAGTTACTCCCTCTTGCTGTTCTCCCTGCAACTGGGATCTTGGTTTTGTGTATAATTCCCCTTTAGATGCCAAAACCAAAGGCAATATCCAGGAGCCTGTCATCTATTTGTTTCATGTTGCGGATGCTACTGGCAAAGTAACAAGACACATGGGCAGTACCATTCAGTAGTCTTGGAGAACACTGATCAATTGGCATGTAAAACTTCTGAGAGTACTTCCTGAAAAGCTGTGTATTTGATTGAATTTCACAAAGCAAATACTGTGTTCACTTCAGCCTTACGTTAATATTCCTTATCTGCAGAGAAGGTATTGGGTATTAATGAGACTGTACTGATTTGGGTCCTGCGTCTTTTAAAAAATGGTGCCTTGTCAACTTTTTTCTTGTCTGTGGTGGTTCATTCTTTAGTTATCCTATTCTCTTAGCCTTTTTGACTAATAAAATTTTGTAGTTCACTGACATCTTCTGTGCTTTTTCTCCAAATAATTGCTAGAGAGAACATTCCTACGAGTTCAATGAAAATAGAGTTTATTTTAAAGGAGTAGAAAGGCAAATCATTGCAGTTTGTCACTTTGGCTGCTACTCTACTAGAGATATTCTGCAATCGATGGAGAGTGTATATGTAACCACACTGTTGGTGTAACCATGAGGATGGCATTCTCAGAAGAAATGGAAGTGACACCAGGATCTTTAAAATGGAGTAGAACTGTACAAATATGTTCTTTTGATACAGTTAGATTAACATAATTAGCGATTGAGAAAACTTAGCAGACCTGTAACTTTTACTTAGTCTTTTTTACTTTCTAGAAATTTGAACAGTGTTCTTGAGCATGTTAGTGTTTGGAATGGATATTCTGATGAAAGGAGTTGGATGGAAAATAACATTGTGTGGAATGACAAATTGCAATTTAGTGACAGCATCATCCTTATTGGAAGTGTGTTCTTCAGTACTTAAAAACACTTCTTGCTTTTAATATGAAGCCTGAAGCATGGCAGTTATCCCTAAAGTGTGAGAACGTGTGTATTTAACACTTTGTCTGCCTTGGTCATGGCTGTTTTTGTAGGAAGCCTGACAGTGTAAAACCAAGAAGTAGTTTAATTAAAATCATTAGGTAGTATTGGCTGTACTGAATCTTCATTTTATAAGGACCTACATTAAAAAAAAAAAAAAAGCTTTGTAGGATATCTGTGTATGCAGACTAACAAAGTGCAGGAAAGTAACAAAGTCAGTGTGCTTCTGGCATGTGTAAAAGAAAGGAAGAGAATATTTTAGCTCTTATATGTAGATTACCCATACTCTTGGCAAGACACTGAAAAATATGTGTACTTCTTACATTCAGAAAAGTATATAAACTCATGTATTAGCTCTATTAACATTCAGAAAAGTATATAAACTCATGTATTAGCTCTATTAGACTAAAAAGATTGATATACCTGAATGTTGAAATTGAAACTGAGTTAATGTGTCTTCTTGTAGGTGGATTTGCTTTTGTATATGAAGCCCAAGATCTTGGAAGTGGCAAAGATTATGCTTTAAAGGTAAAATGAATTTACTTCACTATAGGTTTATAAGGTCTGCCTTTTTGCATGACAGTTAATCCTTGATGTATGCCACTGAACAAGTCATTTAGAAAAACAGAGTGATATAGTGGTGTTTGTTGCATGCTGTATTTGTATTTAGAATGGTCATTCCTATTAGGACCCTGTGCTTTATACGTGGATGCAAAGATGGGAAGTGCTCTATTAGGTACTACTGCTACTTGTCTTCATTTGGTCTAGAAATTCATCACGCTGCCACAAGCATTTTGTTGCTTGGGTAAGAAGAATCGTTCCTAGTTACTTGAAGTGAGGTACAGGAATATTTTCAACCCTCAGAAGCAAATTTAGCCTACCTGTTAGGCTGCCTTTGTACTTTGAGAGTAAGTTTCAACAGTATTAAAAATAATGCTCCACACTTTGACTCATTGATCAGCCTGGTACTTTTGAGAGACACGCCTCTGGGTTCTTGTTTTCTGAAGTCTTGTAATATCATGTAACAGCTGAGAAACTGAAGTATTGTGGAAAGGACAATAAAGTGAAGTCATATTTTGCTGCCAAAAAACTCATATCACTTGTATTCACCACAAAATGGCACCATTTTTGGAGTAGGGATGTTCTGTGTCTGTATCAGTATAAAGACATCTATCTTGGAGAGAAAGTGGAAAGGGTAGTAGTATGCAAGGTGGGAGAGGTAAGATGGCATTACACTGCAGTAATTACTTGGTCTGGTTTTTTTTTTCTTTTTCATGTCCTACAGTAACAAAACATGTGACCAAACCCATGTAGTATGTGTGTTCGAAATGTCATCCAGAAGTAGCCACATTTAAAAATAACAGATAAAGTGTGAATCATTTCTGTACTTCCTCTGTTTCATAAAATGAGTACTTTTGTAGCAAATGCTCAGGTTGATTCTAGTCACATGTTGACTCCAAATCCAAGTGATGCTGGAAATTGTAATGCTTGGTTTTGCTGCTGATTACTCAGGTACCATTGAAAAACCTGAGATAGGTAATTTGGAGAAATTTTGGTTGGAGCGTGTTAAAGGTTGTTCCTGAAGATTTGAGACGGAAGAGGAATCTTCCCTTGTCAGTGCACAGTGCTGTAGCTGAGAGGCTTTTGGTTTTTTTTATGCAACAGATAACCATCAGAGCAGTTACCTTATGAGTGTCAAAGGTTACAACTGGTCAGTTATCAGTAAACCAGAAAAGTACAAGTAGCTGAAAAACTGGGTGTTATATTTATGGCAGTGTGTCCAGATGTACAATAAGCCTGCTTTGTTTACTATCCCATCACATTTCTTTAGGTTTTTGACTGTAGCTTATCCTTTGTGTTTCGGGAGAAAAAAAATAATCTGTGCATTGTTTTTCTGTAAGTTTTAATAACTGTATCTTAATTATTCTGGTTTTTGACAGCGATTGTTGTCTAATGAAGAAGAGAAGAACAAAGCCATCATTCAGGAAGTTTGTTTTATGGTATCCTTTTCTGGAATGTATTTTAATGTTTTGATTTAATTGCCTGATATCAAACATTTCTGAGAAATGGAGGACTGCTCTATAGATTGGGTTCTTTCCATGCCATACACTGCTTAAGAGGACTGACATTCTGAGGAGGGTCTGGGTTCCTGGTTTGTCATGAATCTGGCATCATCATCCAGCAAGTTTAGTTCTTCAAATTTTGCAGGAATTTAATGTGTGCAGATAACTTTTGTAGCTAGTGTAGACTTTGTCTAGCAAGAAGCGAAATTCTTGTTTGGGCTTTCCTGCAGTCCTGTGACTGTGGTCAAGAGACCTTTTGACTATTCAGATGATACTTGGGTCTTAAGTAGACTTCCCTCATGTGCACTGAATTTATTGCCTTTTTGACCACTTAAAACTTTGCTTTTACTCTCAGTGTTTCTTAATTTCTGCCTCAGATGCATCTGGCTTTAAAAAATAATAATGAATATTAAGAAAAGAGTTTCAAGAGAATTCATGCATCAGAAACAAGAAGCAGATGTTTCTCAGTGTCGTTGCTGTCCTTTTTGTCTTTAATGATGTTAGATGGTAGAGTATAATGTAATCTTGGAAGTGTTTTCACTCCTTGGCTTTAATAAACTCAATATTGGCTCCCCAGTGTCTGCTCTAAGACCCTCAGTTTGTTTAAAGAGTCAGTAAATAGCTGTAATATGTTGTTGTTCTGTTTTCTACTCTGAGTATTCAGCTTCATTTTGAGTTCCCAGTCAAAACCACTGATCTCAATTTAAGCTACTCAACTATTTCTTTTTATGATTACTGAAATGTATGTCAAAATCTTAAATTAAACACTGTTCACTGGAAGTACACTTGCAAAGAATAGACTACTATAGCACTAAACATTTTCTAGCTACTCTGACTATATCTTGCCATGAGTAAAGAACTGAATGTTCTTTGGATGTTTTTTACAGCTCAGGCTCATTAAAGCATATATACAACTTGAACAAGGGTTAACTGTTGCTAACTTTCCAAGATATAACTGTGAAATGAAATTAATTCCTGCAGCTCTGAGTGAAAGCTTGTAAAGAGATGCATAAGATATAAAATAGTACTTTGGATTAATTCTAATTCGGTGGATCAAATTTGCCTTTTTTTATAGCTTTGTTGTATTTAAAATGTCTTTCCTTTTTTCTTCTCAGACTTGGTAAATGCAACTTGTAAATAGCGTGCATTTGTCTCATAGGCATGAGTCTTGGACTATGACCAAGATAGTACACATCAGGGGCAACACAAACAGGCATAATGCAATGTAACTTCCACTGTCAGGAAATGAGATCACTTACATTTTACTCCCCTTTACGTAGTTCAAAAATAATACCTTGAATTTTTGAACTGTAAGTGAAACATGACTGAAGTATTAGAATGAAGAATTATTACTAATGATGGGAGGATAAGTTCCTTGGTCTTTTAGAGCTTTTATTTGTTTTGAACTATATTTTAATTACTTAAAATTGAAACATAACATACTTAATGCTTGCTTTGGAAAGACAGGTGATGATATAATAGCCCTTTCTTGATCAGCCAACTGGAGAAGAAGCTGATAATTAAAAGGTCTTTCTACTTGTGATAATTCCTTACAGTCATTGTCAAAAGACAGAAGGAAGTAACTAGGCCTGTTATGAAGTCCAGTTTTCTCAGAGCCTTAATCACAAGTGGTTTTTATTTTGTTTTTTTATTACATTACCTTCAGTGTCTTCCCTTGAAGTCTGTTGATTTGGGTTTTTTAATCTGAGGCATAGATTTCCCTGTTCTGCTTAGTATTTTAATTGCAGCTCTAATGCTTTCTGTGATTTTTAAGCTAACATTTCAAATGAGATGTCTGTGAACTGCTGTATACAATAGTACCAATAAACTTGGCAGTCGTCTTCCTTGAACATGTTATCTCCAGAAAAAACTTTCAGGTCATCCCAACATTGTCCAGTTCTGCTCTGCTGCATCTATAGGGAAAGAAGAATCAGACACGGGACAGGGAGAGTTTCTTCTGCTTACGGAACTGTGTAAAGGTAAACTTCACTTCTTTTCCCAGCTGTACACGTTGTTTCTGACAGCTGTTTTGCATGGGTTGCTTCACAGCTTAGAAACTTTGAAAGCTTCTTAAAGGTAGAATAGTTCGGTGGAGCCGGAGTTCAGCCTAGTCTTTTATAGGATAAAGATCATGTTCTTTGAGACTACAGTTCAACATCATCTTAAATATGGGATAATCGTTAAGTTCTTTGTGTTTGACACTAGTCATAGGAAAGAAGAGGAGGAATAATAGTTTCAGAGCAACGTTTCCTTTGGCACTGCAGCCAATATGGATCTGCCATTTTCAGAATATCCATCTAATATTACAAATTAAGACAGTAAATCTTCCTTGACAAGAAAAGCGTTTGTCTATTTATGCCAAGTTTTCAAAATTTGTGGTATTCTGTGTGTACTTATGAGAATTTCTTTGATTTCCTGCAGGACAGCTAGTGGAATTCTTAAAGAAAGTAGAATCCAAAGGACCTATCTCCTGTGACACAGTTTTGAAGATCTTTTATCAGACCTGCAGAGCAGTGCAGCATATGCATAAACAGAAGCCTCCTATTATCCATAGAGATTTAAAGGTGTGTTACAATGTTTAAATACAGGCTGAATTTTTAAGCAGCAGAGGAGCCTGTAGGGCTGGATCAGTGTTAAGACTGTTGATCAAATACAGTGAACCCTCTTGAGCGTAGTGCTTACATGTATTGCCTTGCCAAGATTGCTGGATGTCAGTGAAGGTCATCACTGAAATACTTGCATCTCTTCAATCAAGATCTTTTCCTTGTTCTTGTGGCTAGTACTACTTGTACTCCATCTGAACAAGCTGACAGAAAAGTAGTATGTCGTGGTTTGCTGATTAAGTTAGTCTTTAAGTAGGTTGCTTTTGATAAAATAACTAGTTAAAACTTGGTGAGTTGCTGTTTTGGGGCGAGCAGGTTTTCTTAAATAGAAAAGGTAAATTTGACAGAGAAGAGAAGGTAATGTTGGATTCTCTGTGAGACATAATATAGCCTTTGATAATGATTAGTAAGCTGTTAGTTTTAGAACTAACGACTTGCATCGCATTTTAGGGCTTATTTTTAACTTGAATTGTGAAATTTTGTAGGCATAATTCATGATAGATTTGTTTCTTAATTTTTAATTTTGTTAGCTTTTACCAAGATACCAAGGGTTATGCTTTAGAAAGTGTTGTCCCCTTAGAAACTTCAGAGATTTGGAAGGACTTAATCTGTGTTTGAATTTTGTATTTTGAAGGAAGAGGGTCACCTTTACATGTATGCTATACCTTAGATGAAGAAGCACTAATCATCAGTGAAATTCTGCTGTTCTACAAATACATTTTAATCTAGTGGAAGGAGGTAGTCTTCTTGAATGTAAACAAAACAAGAGAAAGAAGATTCTTGTTCCTTGAAACAGTGTCTGAATTTCACACATGTCTGTTTCCTACTTGATGTGATGTCAGCTGCATGTAAAAAAAAAAAAAAAAAAAAAAAGAAAACTTGTTCCTCAAGTGAGCATGTACTCATTTACTTTGAGGAAAGGAAAATGAAATCACTTTTCAAAAGTGAATGTGTACTAAGTGTTTTCAACACTGTTGTAGAAAACTTTGATGCTAAGCACTAGTATAGCCCCTTAATATTAAAATAGTTTTGATGATGGAGCATGCCCCACTCCTTGCCCCGCCTCCAGGTACCATTGAGCAGGCTTCTAGGTCCTGTCAAAGAAATTTTGACCCATCAGGGATACAACTTTCTTGGTGTTGCTTTCTAGACTAAAATCTTTTATTCGTCTGAAATTTCTGTGCACCAGCCCCTAGAAAAGCTTGCAGAAAAGATGCATATCTTCTCTGAAAAAGGAGTAAAAATCTATTTACAAATAAATATACAATTTCTTATGTAGTCAGCTCCATAGAAGTTGAGCTAATGCTGTAATTAAAGATCTGTTCTTTCTTGTCGAATACTGTAAGTTCCCAGCAGAGAGAAAATATGGAAAAAGGCAGAATTTGGTTTCATGTTGGTTTCATGTTACAGGGGCTGCAAAGCAAGATTAAATTATAATTGTGCTGCAATAGGCAGAGACATTACTGCAATCAGGAGCCAAATAGGGATCATCTAACTGTGCTAACCTTTCCAGAAGGCTGAACAGCAGCATAAAAAAACCTGTGTGTCAAAGTTGTGAGCCAACCTCAAATGAGACCTAAGATGCTAGTGTAGCTTTTAGGGAGGGGTGTAGTAGAGTGGAGTCCTAACAGGTTTTTCTCAGTTACTTTGGCTAAAAGTGGAAGGATTCATGAACTTCTACAGTGCAGCTTAAAAACAAGTTCACCTTCATAGTAGTGGCTTTCTGTCCTGTGGTTTCCTTCTCTTGCTTGTCAGTGTACTGTATTCTTTGTTCCTGGACCTCTTTGGATGAAGTTCTAACTTATGTGTATGTACAGCGCTGTACGAACAGATCTAGTTGAGTTGTAAAAAATGTAAGCTGGTTAGAGGGTGACTTCTAAAATATCAGTGCTTCTCTGATGTTTTCATTGTTTGAATTTGATGTTTTCGGGATTTGCCATGCAGTGCACAGCTAGTCTGCATAACAGGTCATAGAGCCTCTTAAAATCTGAATAATCAGCTAGAATGTTTTACATTATTAGCAACCTTTACCAAAGCACAAAAACAGAGAAGCTTGATCTCCGGTCTTACTGTGACCGTTTTAGTGTTAAAATTTAATTTGATGTTGAATGCCCACCCTTCTTTTACTATACATGGAGATAAGCAAAGTTATCCAACAGAGAAGGGAATTCAGATTGCTTATTGAGGTCAATACTCTAACCACATTGTTAACGGAGCTTATGTCTTCTTTCAGAATAGTCAAAGTTAATTTTATGGTGGAAGAAGTTGGAAGGAGCATGTGTAAGAGAGGCTAGTAGGATGTTCTGAAAACTGAGGCTTTGTAGAAGGAAGTCCAGAGATGTGGTTTCAAAGGGAAAGGGAAAACAAACCTAGTTATCTGAAGTGTAGTGTTGTAATGTTAGTAATTTGCCTCTTAACTTTTACACCTTTTTGTGACTTCATACAGAGATACAAATTTTCTTTTTCAACCCTTTTTGGTTATGACCCCACAATACTTCTGTCCGATATCTAGTTTTACCCTTCCCCCCATTTCACTTGGCAATCCAGGAAAGTTGGTTTTTGTGAAGAAGAAGAATAAGGGAGAGTGAATGATGAACTAGACAGGCAGCACATGGTCCTCAAATAGCTGTTTTCAGTCTCTGTACAGGGTCACGGCTGCCAGTTTCTGGGTGTCCCCCAGCAGCCTGCTTCTCTACTGGTACCTTCCTGGTTTGTGTCTACAGCAGTCCTAACCTCCACTCCACTACAATTAAGCTGACAGTGTTCAGTTTTATGCGTGAAAACATTTGGATTCCAAGGCAGTGCTTTTGCAAGTAGTCGTCTGAAAAACTGTCCTCCTCTTAAGCACTAATAAAATAATTTATCCCCCCCCCCCTCCCCGTCGGGGTTTATTCCTCCTCTCTTGAATGTTTCTGGCTCATATTGGTTTTTGGTACTTCCGTTTAAAAATTGGCTGTATTGCTACCATATACACCTACAGTGCTGTCTGAAATCTTTGTGCTCCTCTAAACAATGTTCTGGGCTAAAGTGAGTGTTTTTTATATATAAGCACAAGTGAGTTGATGTTTAAATGCATGTGTGTTAGCGTACAGAAAAGACGACGTCTTTAATTTATTATTTTGCCTCTTTTCAAAGGTGGAAAACTTGCTTATTGGTAACCAAGGGACGATTAAACTTTGTGACTTTGGTAGTGCTACAACTATAGCTTACTATCCTGACTATAACTGGTCTGCACAAAAGAGAGCAGCGGTTGAAGAAGAGGTGAGACTATTTTAATGTGATTAATCTTAGTATCACAGTGGATTCATTTAACTGTTACTATTAATCTGATATTAATTCATGGGACTTCTGAGACAACTGAAGATTGTTTCAGTTTTAGTGTTGTTCGTAAAGCTTTGGTTAGGTATTCATGTTGCCAGAGTTCAAACACTGTCTACAGTTACAATTGTAGCTTGTGTTTTGTAGCTGCATATCCAAACACTCCGTCATCTCAAGCAGTGTCCATTCTGCAGTCTAGTGTGGAAACAGAAGTGATTACTAGAGTTTCTTCTAATTGCACTCTTAACAGGAAGTCAAAAATTGTTTATGCCAAAGTGATTCCCACATTCTCATCTGTTTTACTCAGTTAAATATTATATAAAGAAGTGGCAAGTCTGCTCAGCAGAATTTCAATAGGTGGTATTGCAGTCCCTCTAGGACTACAGTGACAGTGTAAAGCACACTGTGTTTGTGCATTTGCTCTTAGTTTAGAGTTGAGAGGAATATTGGTAAATTTAATGTAATACATCAACTGGACTCAGACTTTTAAGTATGAAGAAATACAGTGACACTTAAAATTCATATGTGCATCTTCTGATATCATGAGTCTCTGTAAACTCTCCCTTTTTTGGAATCCAGCATCCTTGGAGAGCAATCAATTGGCTTCTGGAGAAGAAAAAGATGATGTACCACTGTCTTGTGTAGTCTATGCAAAATGATAGTGGAAAAGGTCCCTTCAGGGGCCCTTCTGAACACAGCTTAACTCTTTGGATGTGTCTGCACTGTCATTAAGTGTGAGGAAGTGAGAAATACACGCTGGAACATGAATTCACTTCTTGGTTTATGTTGTTTTCTGTATTTGTGTCCATATCCCATTTTGCCTCATGTAGAACAGTCATTTTATTTCACATGCTTTGCAGTTTGGAAGGACTCTTGAATATTGGTGTTGTTTGAATACTACTGTCTGTATCTGGCCTTAGATCAAAGCTGTTGTGACTATTGCAGGATTCAATTGATGGCTTCTGCCTTGACAAGTGTTTCTGAAATTAATTTCCGAAGTGAGAATGCTATCCATTCTACATGGAGAGCTGTTTCCTTGGTTGAATGCCGTTAGAACTGCTTATTCAAGTTTCTGTTTCAAGAAATTGTCTTCTGCAGATCACAAGGAATACAACGCCAATGTACAGGACACCAGAAATGATAGACTTGTATTCCAATTTTCCAATTGGTGAAAAACAGGACATTTGGGTAAGAAACTTTTCTCTTGCTGTATCATAGCTGCTCATGTCATAGTGAACTGGTTTTGCAGCAAAATAAATGAAAGCACCAGAATGTCAAAATAAACTTGAGTTGTATGAACTGCGTATCTAAATATTAAAAGAATCAGATGTAGTATTCAAGATTTTCTCCCAGATCTAGCTTCACTTCCACTGTGAGAGGCAATGTTGAACCTCTTTGACATTCAGGACTGTTGCCTAGTTGGAGCTTGCCACTGTAGAGCCAGAATACTTACAGTCCTTAAATTCAAATTCTTGCCTTTCATGCTTTGCCGTGAGTGTAATCGTGGGACAGTCTATTGCTGAGTTCAAAATAGTTATGTTGAGGTATTGCATCTGGATCTGTCAGCAAAGATGAGAACTATACAGACATTATTCATGCTTTGTATAGAGAGAATGATAAGTTGTTAACATTCACAAAAAAATCTGTAGCCAGAATTAAAGGTAAACATTAAATTTTCAGTTGTGTAATACTGTAGTAGTACTGGGGTACTGCCCAGTGACTCTGTGCTTAGGGGCTCAGTTTATTGGATGTTTATTACAGAGGCAGGTGTCAAGCTGTTCAGCTGTTATCTGTATTGGCAGTGTGTCAGAAGACAAATAGACAAAATGTAATACTGGTACTTTAGAAGTTTTTATTTGGAATCTCAGGACTTCATTCAATTTCTTAAATTAGTTGCAAGGTATTGCAGAAACTCTTACTCAGCTTCTGCAACTGTTGGCAACTTTATTCTGGCATGGGAAGAAACACCAAGAAAAATACTTATTTCTGACCATTCTGTCACTTCACATGTGTTAAATACTGGCAGTCTGAGCCAAGATTACATCCTGTTAGACACAAAGATAGAAGTGCGTCTAACAAAAGCTTAACTCAAAAGGGCAGTTGCAATTCAGTTTTTGCTTAGTATTAACATGGTTATTGTCTCCTGGTGTGTCTTTGGAAGATCTGTTCCATTTACCATGCCTTCGTTAGAACATGTTCTGTGTTTTTTCCTTTAGGCTCTGGATTCAGTGAAAACATGCAAAGTATTTGGCAATAGAATATGACACTGTCTCGGGAAGCATAACTGGTCTTGTAGTTTGTGGTTAGGATAAACAAAACAGTTTTCTGAAGAAAGCAGGTAGGGTGGGTAACACTCGTGGTTGAGTCTATGTTCTTGTCACTGTGTGAGCTTAAAAGCACGAAGGAGTTAGAAATGTCTTTCTTAGAACAACAGCATAGATGAAGCATTAGTTATCAACTGCATAGGTTCTATGCTGGGAATGTGATTAGATATTGATTGTAAGATCAGAGGTTCTTAGGCTTGGACCACTCTTTCTGTACATTTCCGACCTATGTCTAGAGATCTTCGGAAAATTAACACTGAACCCAAATACTTTTAATTGCAGTTTTTTGAAATTAATGTGATTTCCTAAACTGAAATTGAACTGAATTCCACTGGAATTCTTGGAGCTACTGGATGCTTTATTATCAAACTTCTATAGGCCAGATAGAACATGGTCCTATTACAATAGTGTAACTCTGCTCCTATATTTCATATGTTAACTTACATGTATATACGTATCAACTTACATTTACTTAAGTAACAGATGACATTATCCTAACTAATCTGTTGCACCTGGACTATTCACACATTAAAATTCAAAACTGACTTCTGGCTTTGGTGGTTGTTTCCTTATCAGATTGCACAGGTTTCAAGTTTGGGCACACCAAGGAACTTGAAAGTTCCCAGGATGTTGTAGTCCTGGTTTTGTGATTTTTTTTTATTTTTTTTTTTTTTGAGGCTTGAATGAGCCTGTCTGAAAATGATCTTAAATTTTGTTACAAGAATTAAATAGCCTTCTGATTGTAGGAAATAAAGGATCCATAATTTCAGGCTTATTTTCTTCAAATCTTTATCAAAACAAGCATTTTAGAGATGGTGGTGTGTCCCCCTAGTGTCATTTAAACAAACTGATTAACACTTAAATGCTTACCTAGCTGGTGCGTTGCATAACAGAATGTATCTGAGTTAGAAATACAAAAGACTAAATTCTGTCACCACAAATAAAATGAGTCTTCTTGAAGCACAGGGTGAAGACATGAAATAAAACTTCTGAGCCTTTTTGTAAGAAAAATCCTGTTCTTGAACATGTTCAGTATTGCAAGACTACTCACTGTTGTATACTGTGAAATTAATAAAATGGATTTGTTGTAGTGATTGACAGTAGCATTGAGTGCACCCTCAGCAAGTGTGCTGATGACACCAAGCTGTGTGATGTGGTCAATACTCTGGAGGGAATGGATGTCACATAGAGGGATCTTGACAGGGTGAAGAGATGGGCCTGTGCAAACCTCCTGAAGTTCAGCAAGGCCAAATGCGAGGTCCTGCATCTGGGTCAGGGCAACCCCAAGTACAGGTCCAGGCTGGGCACTGAGTGGATTGAGGGCAGCCCTGCAGAGAAGGACTTGGGGTGCTGGTATATGAAAAACTGAGTATGAGCCAGCAATGTGTGCTCGCAGCCCAGAAAACCAATCACATCCTGGGCCGCATCAAAAGAAGTGTGGCCAGCAGGTTGAGGGAGGTGATTCTGTCCCTCCACTCCATGCTGGTGAGACCCCACCTGGAGTGCTGTGTCCAGCTCTGGGGCCCCCATCACAAGACAGACATGGACCTGCTTGAGTGGGTCCAGAGGAGTGTCACAAAAATGATCAGGGGCCTAGAGCACCTCCCCTGTGAGGACAGGCTGAGAGAGCTGGGGTTGTTCAGCCTGGAGAAAACTCAGGGGAGACCTTATAGTGGCCTTCCACTACTTGAAGGGGGCCTACAGGAAATGTAGGGAGGCACTCTTTATAAGGGAGTGATAGGACAAAGGGTAACAGTTTCAAACTGAAAGAGGTTAGATTTAGGTTGATATTAGGAAGAACTTCTTTACTGTGAGGGTGGTGAGGCACTGGAACAGGTTGCCCAGAGAAGTCGTGGCTGCACCCTCCCTGGCAGTGTTCAAGGCCAGGTTGGATGAGGCTTTGAGCAACCTGGTCTAGTGGAAAGTGACCCTACCCATGGCAGGGGCATTGGAACTAGGTGATCTTTAAAGTCGCTCCCAACCCAAACTATTATATGGTTCTGTGATTCTTGAAAAGACTGGAATAGGAGAATCCCTGAACCTGAAAACTTCCGTGAAAGGGAAAAAGACCCCCAAACCTATTTAGTAGTAGTATTGCTGCTTGGAGCTTTCTAATTGACATGCTAAATGAATGTTTCACTAAGTGTTCTGTCTTCAGAGAAACATCAAGGCTAATTATTTTTATAGGGGTGTGAAGCTGATCCCTAAAGCAATGGGAATATATATAGTTGCATGAATCAGCAGTTGATGATTGAAACATGCAATTTGCAGGCAGTGTTAGGAAGCTTAATTGATTTCATAGTCTAAAATTCTGCTTTAAATATCATTGCCTGAATTAAAGATAGCACAAACAAGAACAACTAGCCAATGTCTTTATGAATCAGAAAATTTGTGTTCATAAACTTTTTTCGTTCTGTGATAAGCTTCACACAAAGAAGGTAGGTGCTGCAGAGCTCCTTCTGTCTACAGCTGAGGGAATCTTCCTGCTTCCTGTAGGACCATCACAGAATATGAGATAAGGTGTAGAGGTACAGGGTAATGTGTTTCTTTATTCTTGGGTCAATGCTCTTGTATAAAGTCACAACACTCCTTTGCTGAGGAGGAAGAAGGCAGAGGTGTGCCATGACCTGTTCAAGTCCCTGTCTGGAGCTGCACCTGTCAAAGACAGGAGAACTGAAGCAGCACCCAGGTTGCCATGGGCAGCCCCTGCCTCCCTACCTGGGGCTTTCCCAGCCTCACACCTAGGTGGTTCATTCCATGCTTCCCTAATGTCTAGGAGGCCACCCATTGTGGGCCAAAAGTGCTGGCAACTGATGTGGCCAGTACTGCGTCACTGGGGCTGGTGCCAGGAGCCCAACCCCAGGGTACCAAGTGAAAAAGGGCACAGAGTTCCCCTTGCCCATGGCTTGTGGAACTTCTAGCTCTGTGTAAGACTACCATGGGGTGAAGGTTGGTGTTACCTTATCTGCCCTGTAGACTGTTGGCAACTTTCCAGCTCAGTGGCAGAGAAGGAAGAGGACAGGATTGTGCTGTGGTCTGGTTGTTTCCCAGTTCAGATGTCCAACTGTAGTACAAAGCAGTCACCCTTCATCACCACAGGCAGCCCCTGCCTCTGTGCCCTCCCCTCCCTGCCTGTGCTCACCTGGCTGCTCGTCTGCCAGTCTGGGCTGGCACAGCCCTTTTTAACCCAACATGGGCTGGCAGCTTTGCCACCTGCCACTGCCAGTGTTTTAGCTGATGTGACACCACCATGACATCTGTGTACAGTTCACTGGGTAAAAAATTGTCTGGATGGCTGAGCCCAAAGAGTTGTGGATGGAGTTCAGTCCAGTTGGCAGCTGATCAGAAGTGGTGTTCCCCAGGGCTCAGTACTGGGGCAAGTTCTCTTTAATGTCTTTATCAATGATCTGGATGAGGGGATTGAGTGCTCCCTTAGCAAGTTTGCAGATGACACAAAATTGAGTGGGAGCGTTGATCTGCCTGAGGGTAGGAAGATTGTGCAGAGGGATCTGGACAGGCTGGATCAATGGGCTGAGGCCAATTGATGAGGTTTAACAAGGCCCAGTGCTGGGTCCTGCATGTTGGTCACAAGCACCCCATGCAGCACTACAGGCTTGGGGATGAGTGGCTGTAAAGCTGCCAGATGGAAAAAGATCTGAGGGTACTGGTCGACAGCTGGCTGAACATGAGCCAGCAGTGTGCCCAGGTGGCCAAGAAGGCCAACAGCATCCTGGCCTGTATCAGAAATAGTGTGGCCAGCAGGAGTAGGGAAGTGATCGTGCCCCTGTACTCAGCACTGGTGAGGGCACACCTTGAATACTGTGTTCAGCTTTAGGCCCCTCACTACAAGAAAGACATTGAGGTGCTGGAGCATGTTCAGAGGGCAGTGAAACTGGTGAAGGGTCTAGAGAATAAGTCCTGTGAGGAGCGGCTGAGGGAACTGGGGTTGTTTAGTCTGGAGAAAGAGGCTGAGGGGGGACCTTTTTTGCTCTCTACAGCTACCTGAAAGGAGGTTGTAGTGAGGTGGGGGTTGTTCTCTTCTCCCAAGTAACGAGTGATAGGATGAGAGGAAATGGCCTCAAATTGTGCCAGGGGAGGTTTAGTTTGGATATTAGGAAAAATTTCTTCAGCCAGACGGTTGTCAAGCGTTGGAACAGGCTGCCTGGGGAAGTGGTTGCGTTGCCATCCCTAGAGGTATTTAAAAGACGTGTAGATCTGGTGCTTAGTGGTTTTTAGTGGTGGACTTTGTAGTGTTGGGTTAATGGTTGGACTTGATGATCTTAGGGGTTTTGTCCAGCCAAAATGATTCTATGAATCTATGAAATATTTCTGCCTTTTTTTTTGTGTGTAGGCTCTGGGCTGTATCCTGTACTTGCTGTGCTTTAGGCAACATCCTTTTGAAGATGGAGCTAAACTTCGCATAGTCAATGGGAAATATGTCATCCCACAAAATGACACCCGCTATTCTGTGTTTCATGATCTCATTCGTAAGTTTACAATGTTATTTAATTTGGTGTCTCTATGGAAACATCTTATTATTGACAGTGTTGTCTTACTGATATGGCATGTTATTGGCATGTGATGGTGGAAAAGGTTACTTGCAACAACTTCTTGGGTTTTTAAAAAGTTTTAATCCGTTGTCAAAAGACTTGGAAATTTTAAATGAAACTTTTGTTTCTTTGCTGGTGTTGTCTGTCTTCGGATCTGAATTAGTCCATAGGAACAACTAGTGTTTTCATTTGGTTACTTTGAATTTGCTTTAGAAATTATATTTTCTTTAAATTTCAAATAGATTACTGAAAACGTTAATTACAGTGCCAGAAATATGTCTCCAACTCCAACAGTATTAAATATAAAGTTACTTCTGAGGTTATTAATTAACTGATCCTGAAAGATATTCTTTGAAATATTCTTAACCTAAATGGGTGTTTTTTCGTGGATGCCTGTTTTGCCAATGTTATTTGGATTTAGCAGTTGCTCCACTCTGTTCACATGTTTGATTGGTTATTGTGCTGAAGTGCACTGAAGAAATTAATAATATATGCTGAGAAAAAAGCTCTGAAGGATGCCTGTTACATTCTCTGAATCTCTGTTTTTTAGGTTCCACTTTGAAGGTGAATCCAGAGGAGAGATTGACGATCACTGAACTTGTGAATCAACTGCAGGAGATTGCAGCAGCTAGGAATGTGAATCCTAAATCCCCCATCACAGAGGTAAAGATGTGTCATAAGGAGTATTATTGATTAGGTCTCCTTTCTCTCCCTTGTTATCCAGTGAGTGTGAGTTTAGTAACAGATGTCAGAGCAGGTCCCCTGTTCCTTAGTCTTGTGAAAATTTCACACTAACTTGTTTTGGAAATCAATTGATCTGAATCATTTGTAGGATCTTTGAAAATATGCCTTTTAAAGCGCAGAGCTTGCATGACATTGAAGGAAACTACTTGTAGTTCTTACTGCTTGCTGAAAAACCTTGCATGATCTTGGGTCATTCTTTAGTCCACAAGTGCTCTATTTGACATGCTGCATTTAATCATAATTACCTTGCATAGAAAAAAATCTGGTGTACGAAGGCTCTGACTACACTAACTTGAAACCCGCTTAAGTGTCATCTGGTTGGTGCTTAATTTGCGCAATACTGCAAGTGAATCAATTAGTGTATCTTAACAACTTGGCTTTCTCCTGAGGTTCAGCTTGCTTGCTCTCACCAAGTGAAAGTCATTTACAAAGCATAACAAATGGGCTAAATTGGCAAGAAAATACTCATAGTGAGTATTGATCTCTTCAGCTCCTGGAACAAAATGGAGGCTATGGAAACAATGCTCAGCCTTGGACATCAGTCACCTCCGTTTCACAGAGCTCTAAGCCTGCAGGACAGCTCAACAATATGTACAATGCAGGTAAGTGCAGAAAGAGATGTTATCTTAGTGTAAAACCAATTGCATATCTTCTATATGAAAAAAATCATTTGGGGGTTTTAGATGTTTTGCACAACTACTAGCGATTTTGCAATTATGTCACTGATTCTAATCTTGTTTTATTTTTGGCAGGGTTTGGTTGTATGTTGATACGTGCAAATGTGAATTTCTTAGTTCATTGCTGGGCAAGATAAAATTCAATTTCCTATGTAAAATAATTGAATCTAACATGCTTTGTTGACCTGTAGAGGCAGGAAAGTTGAAATAAGTGAACTAAAACTTGATGAAGGTGGTGAATACAGTCATCAATAATGTTCTTAAGAACAAGAGCTGTAGTTTTGGGAAAGTAGTCTTTGGGTTATGACAAATGGATAAAAATGACTTATTTTAAAACAAGCTTTCTGATTCAATGAGGCAACAATATTTGAAAGTGTCTTGTGTAAAGAGCAGAATTTAAGAGGACTTCAAATTTGGACTGGTAAAAATATTCTCAGAAGTGCTGTATTTTAACTGAAACCTTGTTACTTTGTGGCAGAAGTTATTGAAATCAGTACATATCCTGAGTTTGTGCACAATACTGGATCTTTCGTGAAAGAAAGTGGCAGTTGTCTTTGCTTTCCAAGAAGAACTACTTAACGTCAAATATGTAACAACTTAAAAAGACAGCAGTCATTGTGTGGCTTTTGGTATAACTTTATGCTAAAAGGGCTTGGTGTCTAACAATTGAGGTAGTCCAATAAAGAAACACAGAAACAATTGCAGGGATTTTGACTATGGACCACAGTAGTTAGTTAATGCTAGGGAGTCACTGACCTGACATATTTATTTCAGCCTGCAAAAAGCCTGTATGAGGAAGAAATACTTCCATAAGCATTTGGAGTCAAACTTTCCTTCCTCCTGCCTCCCCCTCAAAAAGACTTTTGACCCTATGTGATAGTTTGAAGTGCATATGACAGAGTGATCATAGTCTAAGGCTTGAAGTTTTATCACTTCCAGAAGACTCATGTCTGGCAGCCTCAAAGGGAAAAAGCATCAGCCAGAACTCATTTTATTGGCAATCCTGTCAGTACTTTCAGAATTAGATGGGCTCAAGAAGACAGTACCAGCTATACCTAATTCTGAGAGGATTGTACAGGGAGGACTTCAGGACATGGCTGCACCACAGGACTTCAGTGGTGAGAAGGAGTTGTGGCTCCATCTGAGGAAAAACAGTAGTTGGACTAGCAGTACTAAACTGAATCAACCAAAACACGTCTCCAAAGTGACACAATTAAAAGCTGACATGTCCATGTCAGTAAAAATAGATATTCTAGAGTTCATTCAGTTGGAAGTACTTGCAGTCTATATAGTAAAGAAAATAAGAAGCTTGATAGGCTTATTTGCATCTAATTTATTATTAAAAAGCAATTTCTGCACCCATCATGTACATCATATGTGAATATGGAACATTTCAATTGATGTAGAAGGTATCAAGGGAGTATTTCATACTGTTTTCAATTTCCCTTCCAGCTTGGTATTTCTTGCTTGATATTACTTATGCTGAATTGCTAATGAAACAAAGGATATTAATATTCCAGGGAAACTTTTAAAATTGGATAATATTTATTGCAGTAATGTTATCTGTGTATCAGTTTCTCTGGAAGACTCCAGCTTCCTAATAGGATTACGATTAAAAGCCTGTCTGGCCATCTGTTTCGTGCAAGAATGAGTTCTGTTTATTGTATACAATCATATTAATAGGGATATTGTTCTGCGATGCTGTGCTAGCTGGGATGTTGTGCTTAAGAAGTAACTTAATTATGCCAGATGCTTTGGAAGCCCTCCATTAAAATGTCTCTACCGGGGTGCTTAAGCAGATTTGCTAACAATAAGCTACACTTTAAGACACTGATACTAAAAAAAGACAGTATTTTGCTGCACTGGCAATATGAAATAAATGCTTTACTTTCAGAAGTTTTTTACTTTGTTTTCTTTTAAATGCAAACTGTCAACTAAACAATGTGTTAAGTCGTTTGGTCCTGACCACAGGAAGTACTATTTTTTGCATAAGTTATAGTTGAGGAGAACTTTAGAACTGTGAGCTTTACAGCAAGACGTAGCCTGTATATGCATTCACTTCCAGCTTTGTAGGCAGCTTGCTTTAGTATGGAACCCATGCCAGGATGTGACTTAAAGTACAATTATTTTTATTCGACTACTCTAGGCCTGACCGTTGCCGAATGTGACCAGACTTATGGAGGGTTCTTTGATATTCTGAGGGGTGGAACAGAGCGATTTTTCACTAATATTAAGGATACATCTTCTAAAGTTATCCAGTCTGTGGCCAAGTGAGTAAAAAACAACAATAAAAATTTAAAAGTGTGCTGGTAAGAGTTCTAAATAAAGAGTCAGGAGCTTGCTCCAGAAATTATAAAATTCAGCATATTTTTCCAAGTATGAGCTCTCATAGCTGGTGGCTAGCCCTGAGATTTTTATGAATGATACAAAAGTTACTTTAGCAATCATGTATGAGAAATGAGAATGCTGGGGGCGAAAGCCTGTCCAGAAGTACTACTTTCCCTGTGGTAATTTAGATATGAAAGCTTGGGAGAGATGAGCAGGTGGGGGCTGAAGCAGGGCAGAGAGGTATGCAGTAGGGCTATCATGGTTCAGAATGAATGGATAGAAATAGTAGATAGGGCCTCTGTGAATAGCAGAGGAAGGAAAATGGATGGAGTGGTGAAACGTATCAATAAGGGAATGGAAGTGAGAAGAAAAACTGCAGGGAAATAGTGTATGAGCTCTTCTGTACAGTTTAGTTTTCAGGTGGAATCCTGTGCCCTCAAGGCAAAGTGAGAGGCTGTGCACTGTTTGGCTCCTTTGCCCTGCATTACATGGAAGAATACTCTCCTGTTTTGATGTATGTGTCTCAGATACTTAGTGTGTGATTATTTTTTTTCTAATCGGGTTTGCAGTCCCATACCAAATGTTTCTAGTACCTCTGTGTGGTCAATGTTAATCAATCTGTATGATTCATACATTTTTAACTCAAAATTTTATGCAGTGTAAAAGTTTTTTTTCTTAATTCTAGGAAAAGCAGGTAAGTCACTACTGAATACCATGACTGAACCTCCTAAGGAATATTGAATCTTCTCCTTCACTGTAGGGTCTGTGGCACTTTAATTGGGATACTGTGCTATGGCTTGTGAAGTCCATTGCTTGCAACATGTCTTTCTGTCACTGGGTGTAATTTGTGCATAGTGCTGTTCTGAAATGTTTGTAATGCTTGGATGAGTTAGATATGTGGATCTTGCACCTCTGTTGCCACTTCAATTGCATTTTTAGCTGTTTGCTCTTACACTTAGTCTTTTAAACTTTGTGTGTGTGGCTTAGGCCAGGTCTTCTATTTTTTAAAAGTCTGCAGCTATGCAGCTTTGTCCTTAAGCTTTCAACAGGCAATTGGCACAGTAGCATCAAACTGCTCACCTTTAGGAAACCACATGGACTCAAGAGGAAGACAGGGAGGTGTACAAGGGAAATGAACTGTGTCATGATGAAAAATGGTGATTTGTTAGCAGCTTAGCAGAACTGCAGGAATTCCATGTATGAGGTAACATGATGGGCTACAACTTTTAAGAAACCCCTCTCCATTTTATTTCTTTGGCATGTGCTGTCTTGCAGGCTTCTGTTCCTTATCTCCTTGTACCTGCTAACTTCTGTGGAACTGATCTTCCTCCCCCTCCTTTTCAGTCGTACTTCTGTTCCTTTTGTGGTGTCTTGTTAAATGAAATTGTGTGTGTGGTAAAACATGGAAATACTCTTCAGATACCTTGCCTCTGAAAGCTCTACTATTTGTAAACTCGAAGGTACTTAATTCCTTGTCTTAAATTCTGCCAGTTTTGCTTAGATTTAAGTCTTGCAGTGGAGAAATTACTTTTCTTCCTTTGTGACACCTAACAAATTCTTCTGTACCTTGACAAAGTTATAAGTGCTACTTTCCCATGCCTTTGTTCCTGTATTAGATCTTGCTCTGATGCTGTATTTTGATTGTACAGTACATGCTTCTGAAGTACTCCTGCAGTTCACTTCCTTGTGCTCTTGTCTCTCAGAATCACAGAATGGTAGGGATTGGAAGGGACCTCTGGATATCATCTAGTCCAACCCCCCTGCTAAAGCAGATTTGCTTGGAGCAGGTTGCACAGGACTGCATCCAGATGGGTTTTGAATATCTCCAGAGAAGGAGACTCCACAACCTCCCTGGGCAGCCTGTTCCAGTGCTCTGCCGCCCTTAAAGTAGAGAAGTTTTTCCTCATGTTGAGGCGGAACTTCCTGTGCTCCAGTTTGTGCCTGTTGCCCCTTGTCCTGTCACTGGGCACCACTGAAAAGAGCCTGGCCCCATCTTCTTGACACCCACCCTTTAGATATTTATAAGTGTTGACAAGTCCCCTCTCAGTCTCCTCTTCTCCAGGCTAAAGAGCCCCAGGCCTTTCAGCCTTTCCTCATAGCAGAGATGCTTCAGCCCCCTCATCATCTTAATAGCCCTCTGCTGGACTCTCTCCAGTAGTTCCCTGTCCCTCTTGAACTGGGGGGCGCAGAACTGGACACAGTACTCAGATGTGGCCTGACCAGGGCAGAGTAGAGCGGGAGAATAACCTCCCTTGACCTGCTGGCCACACTCTTTTTAGTGCACCCCAGGATAACATTGGCCTTCTTGGCCCTGGGGGCACATTGCTGGCTCATGGTCAACTTGCTGTCCACCAGAACTCCCAGGTCCTTCTCTGCAGCGCTGTTCTCTAGCAGGTTGACCCGCCGCCTCCACATGACTTTCTGGATTGTTGTGCCTCCATCAATTGTGTTTGAAAAAGTTTCCTCTTCCTCCTTTTGCAAGCGGTTTCTTGCTTAAAGGCCACTGGAAGTTTTAATTACTTTTTTGTATTTCATCTTGTGCCATTTTCATCTTGTGCCGTTTTCACCTTTTATAGTGGTGGATTGGGACTGTCTAAAATTGACTTTTTAATATGAAATAGCTTATGCTGTGCCTGCACCTTACTTTTATTTCTCTTACTTAATAGGTGACTGTGGCTTTTTTGCTTGGTGTGATTTCCTTTGTTTCCATAGTAAGTGTAGTGTGCAAGGAGTAAAACAGTATCTGTACATCCAACCGCATCTTCAGAGCTCATCTGGCAGCTTCTGAATTACAGGACAGTAAGTACTTGCTGTCTGAAAAGGTGCTGTTCATTTCACATGCTTTTCTCTACAATTGTTTTAGATTATGGTGACTGCCCAAAATAAGTCTTGCATCTAATTCTTAAGTTACCGTGCTACTTCTGAATTGCTAGTTAGTGTTATGTGGCTGAACTGCATACTTGGCACTTTAGTTAGAATCCCTTTTTTGACAAAAATTGGAAAGTGTGATTGAGATGGAACTTGAGACTGAGTCCTGCACAGACTCTTGTGGCAGGATCTTTTGTGCCTTAAATTTGTGTGGGATATAAGGAACTTCTGAAATCCCCTAAACTGCTTCAAACCTGACCTGGCATGGC